AAAAATGATGAGTCCAAAAAGACTCAAAGGAGGAACAGTCCTACAATATCCAAGTCCATTCACACTGGTCCAGTTTAGCTGGCTTTGATCCAACTCCGGTCCGTCTGCCTAGAAAGTCCGGTTGGAGAGCCCTGAACTCTGGTGAGGTCCAAATGCATATGAACAGGAAGCGGATCAGAGACTCCGCCTGAAGGATGTTAAGAATTATAAAGAGGAATAACTTGATTTAGCTCGTTAATTTATTCCTCTGTCCTAGGTTCTTGTGTCTGCGTAAGTGTCGAGGGAGAAAGGGCAATCATACGACGTCAGACTTCAGATATCCAGAGTTTTATCCAGAGAAATTCAATACAAGAAGAATGTTACAACAGCATCTCACCTAGATCATCAAAAGTCCAAGACATGACAAAACAGAGACAAAGAACTGAGTAAAAAGACAAAAGATGCATCTTCCGGGAAACTCTCACTCAGCACAGAGATTCGAACTTTCAATTCACTTTGAAGTCATTTTAGTTCAATCACATGTACTCCAATTGCTAGTAAATGAGCTCAATTATTAAAGTAGCTTAAAAGGTTTGTATTTAAGAATTTTAAGTTTTCAAAATGTGCATACATGTAATAATTAAGTACTTTGATAAAACTCTCCACTATCCATAGATCTGTCTTTTGATGTCTTTAAAGTTTATTCATAAATTGCTTATTTAAAAATGTACAGTAAAATTTTGTAATACATTTTTCTTTATGTTTGATTAATTTATGCAAATATAACAGCTCTTAATTACATGTTCAGCTTGGATTTAAGTTTAAATCATGAACTTTCTGTCGTTTTGATGTTTCTGGACTAAACCTTTATTTCCTGGTCAGAATCAGAACCGCTCGGCCTTCAGCCAAACCACCAGTCACATCCACTTTCCTGTCAGTTTAATGTCTTTATCTTTCACGTCCATTACTTGGCTATGAGCCATTTACTTTTAAAAGTTGTAAAATAAAAACAGAATTTTCTCCCACTTTTCAATTTTCTTTAATGTGTTTTGAGAAAAAAATCAACTTCATCTGTTCAGTAAAGCTGAACAGATAATGTTGCATAAAACATTGAGATCAAATTGTGTCAAGATGCAAGAACAGCTCAGTGGCATCACGCCTGTAATCCAGAACGATGTCACAGCGTCATGGCAGCTCAGAGCTTCACATGCATGGAGGGAAAAACCACAGCAGACTCTCAGTCCACTGAACCATACAGAGCATAAGCAAGAAAAGAGATTTATTATATTTTGATACATCATGAACCACAAATACTAGAATGTACATTTTCTGTGTTAGACTAAAAACAATAAGGAAGTCCTCTTGTGGATTTAAATAATCCCTTCACTTCTTTCAGAGCTTGAGATTTATTGCTAGTGTTCTTTTCAAAGAAAAGCAACTCATAGAAAACATAAAACCCATCTCATCAGAGCAGTCATGTCATGTGACAGAAGCAGGTTTTCTGATTGCTGGTTAAATACAAACAAGTTTTCTGAATTAAAAGCTCCTGTTCCATCAATTTTCTGCAGGTAAATCTGTAAATGTAACCAAATAAACTCAGTATTTTAAAACTCTAAATGCACATTTTACTTTACGCTCATTCCAACTATGAGCTGATCTCATTAATCAAATTAAATATTATCCAACATTTCTCTGTTGGATAATAAATTAAAGAACAAAAAATGTAAAAAGTTGCTTTGGAGCTGAAAAGTCAGACTCTCTAGTGATCTGAGCCAAAAGAATAAGGGGAACGGAAAACAATTCGGTTCATCCAAACTGACCCAGAACAGGAAAGTCCAGATTCACGTTTGGGTCCAACGTTTCAGCCTCCTGCCAGCAAGTTAACGAGATACCGAAGGGTGGATAAATTATTTTAAATTCTGGTTGACAGGCAGCCAGAACTTCCTGTAACGGGTTCAGACTGACTGTTTCTGAATGGTCAGAGTCTTTGGAGCCTTTATTCAGTCTCCTTCGCTGTTCCACCTCCGTTGATCCAGGCAGCACGTTTCTTCTGCCAGTTCCATTTTCTGAAAGCGTGGTCAGCAGCATTTCCTCTGAAAGCTGAACGGAAGAGCAGCTTGAACCTTCAGAGAATCGAGAGCAGAACTTCTTCGGACTTTCAGATCCAGGTGTTCATGAATCACATGGACATGCGGAGGTGAGGAGGGTTCCTGTCACGCAGCTTGCAGGTTCAGCTTTTCTGTGCTGAACATAATTAGAGGGAAAAGCAGCTTTCTGACATCTGAGTGCTGGAATCCAGTCACAACGCCTCCATGATTGATTCACTGCCTGTTCCTGTGCAGCGACTGATTAGCTCCCTGCTGGGACCCAGCTGATTTACAGGAGGGAAATATTCTTAGCAGAACCGTAAATAATTAAAACAAGAAAACGATACAGAGGGAAAAAAACATTTTAAAAGAAACTTTAAATTTCTGAATCAAGGTTTATTTTAAATCAGTTTCTCAGGTGCAAACAGGGAGAAAAAACATGATAAACATCCAGAATAAAAAAAATAACATAACCTCTAAAGGAGCAGAACCAAGAAACCCAAAGACTCAGCTCCAGTTCAGCCACTAAGGTCAACTGGAGTTAGCACCAGTACATCTCAGACTGAGAAATTAGAATAATGTTGAAGTGCAATATGTCTCGCCAGACGTCTCAGAAAGTTTATTCAAGATTATTACGCATAAATAAAGCTTTTATTTTAGTTTTAATGATTATGGTTCACAATTAAAATAAAATCTTAGTCTTAGAAAATAAGATCATAAAGATGCTTCAGTTATAATGTCAGCTTTCTGAAAATCATTTATTATCCATAATCATCAAAATTACAGATTATTTTCCAAACAAAGACCTGTAAAATATTACTGTCCGATTATAGAAATGAGTTTCACTTTCTGAGACGACCAACAAGAAATATTCAACTTTTATGACGTTTTAAATATATTTTTAGATGCACCAGTAGAGAAAAACACTGAAACATTTTCTAACAGCAGTCAGCCTTTATGTTTGTCAGCCTAAAGTTGATTTTGGAAGGAGATAAAGTGCAGCAGAACCGGGTCCAGACCCGAACCGGGTCCAGACCCAAACCGTGTTCAGAATCAAACCGGGTCCAGAACCAAACCGGGTCCAGACCCAAACCGTGTTCGGGATCAAACCGGGTCCAGAACCAAACCGGGTCCAGACCCAAACCGTGTTCGGGATCAAACCGGGTCCAGAACCAAACCGTGTTCAGAACCAAACCGGGTCCAGACCCAAACCGTGTTCAGAATCAAACCGGGTCCAGAACCAAACCGTGTTCAGAATCAAACCGGGTCCAGAACCAAACCGTGTTCGGGATCAAACCAGGTCCAGAATCAAACAGTCCGGACCCGAACTGGGTCCAGAACCAAACCATGTTCAGAACCAAACCGGGTCCAGACCTGAACCAGGTCCAGACCAGGAGCCAGTTAAATTCGTCAGAGCTCCAGAACCTCTTGGTTCTTCTGGGTCTGGATCTACAACGTAGAATCATTTCTGTCCTTTAGATCTGAACGTCTGCAGGAATCTCAGAACGGATGATTAAAGAAAAATTAAGTGCTTTAAAATATTAATATCAAATAGTTTAAAATTGAAAGTTTAGTGGTATTTGTTGCAGGTCTTACAGGATGTTCCTGCCTTTTAGGGGCGGAGTCTGCGACCATCGCTGTTAGTCTGTTCTTGTGGCGGTTTTGGGGGAGGCGGGGTCTGACGGCCATGTTGGCGGTCTGCAGACGACGCGACACCTGGAGGCCCGGATGAGATGGCAAGAGCAGGAAGGAGGGAGACGGTTCTTCTGGGCTCTCAGGCTGCAGCCACCACTGTTCTTTATTATATATTTATAATAAATGCCTTCAATAGGGTTGAAAATAATTTTGTTATGGTCAGGATGTAACGAAAGATTCCCCAGAACATGATAACTCAGAGCTTCAAGGTCATGAGAAGTCCAGATGGTTCAGAAAGATCAAACTATGGTAGAAAATAACGTGAGACTTTATAGCAGCTCTCAGTGGAGAAAACATTAAATAAACTATATTAGGACCGACGAGGGAACTCTAAACAGATTGCACATTAAAATAACCAGGAAGGGCTTTAGTGCTTCTAGTCATGAGGGCGGAGTCATTTGATCATGAATGAACAGAAAGTGAACATAAAAATAACATGAACAAAAATACTGGGAGAAAAAACATATTAATGACTACAGGCAGGATGCTGCAGGAGGGTTTTAGTTTTCACTAGATCATTGCTAATCCTCCCGCTGACCTTCAGTTTAAAGGTCAAATAAGTGATTAAATAAAAGCGTCTCAGACAGAAAGATATGCTCGATCATAAGCAGCTTCATTAAGACAGTAATATGAAAGCTAACTGGATACGGCGCTAGCATTTAGCCACTCTGGAGCGGAGGCGCAGCTTGATCCGTTGGCTGCCGTCGCCGTCCTTCGTCTCCTGGTTAATAATCTGAAAACACAGACAGGAGAAAACATGGCAGAGGAGGGCGGACGCAGCAAAGCAGATAATTACAGAACATAACCAGAGTTAGCAGAAGTTAACGCTGAACCGCCAACAAAGTCTCTCAGTCTGTTTCACATCTAAATATCCTTCCAGCCGACTCTGGTGAGAGACTCCTGAAATATGCAGCATAATTAAAATATTCGTTCAATACGAAATGTAGTTTTAATATCACGTGGCTGAGATTTGAACCCAGAACCTTTTTGCTCCTCCACTGAGAAATGAACAAATAAAAACAATCATTTTCATTCCTTGCATAAGACAAACCTACATGTCCAGATTTACTGTGAGGTTATCAACACAGAATAAAGATAGAAAAATAACCCAACATCTCTTTTCGCAGGACTCATAACCCTGCAGTGAATTAATACATCAGATGAAGATGTGAGCCTCGTCACGCTGCCTCGGCTCCACTCACCGGGTGGGGGGCATTTCCATGGGGCAGGAGATTCAGGCCTGTAGAGTTTCTTTCTGCTCCTCTTGGCCGTCATACGGAGGGGGAGGAAGAGGAAGAAGAGGCTGACTGGGCATCCGCACGGCCGCTGACCAGGCTCATCATCTTCTTGGCTGCAGTAACACATCAGGTTCTTTCAGGGATTGGATCAGCATGATTAAACAGCAGCACAGAGATCCAAGGCTTGGGAAGAACAAAAACTCATTCTGAACATTTAGAGAGGGAGAATAAGTGTCCAGGCTCTGCCTCTGTGCAGATGATACTCGGGTTTATGTCACCAGATCACATCATCGACTCCAAGCAGGTAAAACACTGGATGGTTAACATTTTCCAGTGAAATGAGAAGTTAAAGTCCAACACATTTTAACCAGTCAGGCCTTCAGCAGGACGCAGAGCACATGTGAAGATGTTTCCTCATGTGACTGAGTTGTGTTGGGGTTTCAAGGCACTCAGGACTCCTGAGTCTCCTGGTACCAGGCCTCTTCTTCCTCCAGGCCCATTTTGCCTGTGCTTGAATTGTGTTTAGTTCTGGTGAGGTAAGGCTCCCTGCTCTAACTGAAAGGTTGTGTGTTTCTGACCTCCAGAGCTCAGGACGGTCGGGGACCTCTGCAGGAAGTCTCCGATCTTCTGCAGCGTGCCATCCTTCCTGCTGCGGAGGCTGCTCTGGGAGGTGGCGCTCTGGCCACAGGGAGGTAAAGGTGGTCAGCAGTTTGTCTCACAGCGTCCAGTTTAACAGTGAGTGGTGGTTCTGGGCGGTACCTCCTCTGACTGCGAGTTCAGCTTCGGTGCGAGTTTGGTTCTGGTGTTCCTCCGGTTCTCCGTTTCCACTTCCTCCTGAAAACAGACATGACTCATCTTTAACACGGCTAAAAACAACATGTTTCATAATGACAGGTTGGAGCAGATGGAGGCGGTTCTAATTCAACACGGTGAGGAGCAGCCGCGGTGAAAATATATGTCATTAAAGAGGAGAAACAAGCTGTAATATATAGTTAGAGGCCAGGCGGAGGAGCTGGAATCACAGTGAGGTAAACTCAGCCATTATCCGAGTGTCAAGTGTTTGGCTTCCACTGAGCCTGGAGGAAAACCTGCCAACAGCAGGTTAGCACAAACCAGCCAGGTTCAACGTATTTCAGATTCACACACTCAGCAGCAGCTTAAACACACCAAACACAGATCCAGTCCAGCCTTCAGATGCCAGACGGCCACTGAACGCATCCTTACTGAACGCACCGCCACTGAACGCATCATTACTGAACGCATCGCCACTGAACGCATCATTACCGAACGCATCATTACCGAACGCATCATTACCGAACGCATCATTACTGAACGCATCATTACTGAACGCATCATTACTGAACGCATCATTACCGAACGCATCATTACCGAACGCATCGCCACTGAACGCATCGCCACTGAACGCATCATTACTGAACGCATCATTACTGAACGCATCATTACTGAACGCATCATTACCGAACGCATCATTACTGAACGCATCGCCACTGAACGCATCATTACTGAACGCATCATTACTGAACGCATCATTACTGAACGCATCATTACTGAACGCATCGCCACTGAACGCATCATTACTGAACGCATCATTACCGAACGCATCATTACCGAACGCATCATTACCGAACGCATCATTACCGAACGCATCATTACTGAACGCATCATTACCGAACGCATCATTACTGAACGTATCATTACTGAACGCATCATTACTGAACGTATCATTACTGAACGCATCATTACTGAACGCATCGCCACTGAACGCATCATTACTGAACGTATCATTACTGAACGCATCGTTACTGAACGCATCGCCACTGAACGCATCGGCACTGAACGCATCATTACTGAACGCATCATTACTGAACGCATCATTACTGAACGCATCATTACTGAACGCATCATTACTGAACGTATCGCCACTGAACGCATCATTACTGAACGTATCATTACTGAACGCATCATTACTGAACGCATCGCCACTGAACGCATCGCCACTGAACGCATCGCCACTGAACGCATCGCCACTGAACGCATCGCCACTGAACGCATCGGCACTGAACGCATCATTACTGAACGCATCATTACTGAACGCATCATTACTGAACGCATCATTACTGAACGCATCGCCACTGAACGCATCATTACTGAACGCATCATTACTGAACGCATCATTACTGAACGCATCGCCACTGAACGCATCGCCACTGAACGCATCATTACTGAACGCATCATTACTGAACGCATCATTACTGAACGCATCGCCACTGAACGCATCGCCACTGAACGCATCGCCACTGAACGCATCATTACTGAACGCATCATTACTGAACGCATCATTACTGAACGCATCGCCACTGAACGCATCGGCACTGAACGCATCATTACTGAACGCATCATTACTGAACGCATCATTACTGAACGCATCATTACTGAACGCATCATTACTGAACGCATCGCCACTGAACGCATCATTACTGAACGCATCGCCACTGAACGCATCATTACTGAACGCATCATTACTGAACGCATCGCCACTGAACGCATCATTACTGAACGCATCGCCACTGAACGCATCATTACTGAACGCATCGCCACTGAACGCATCATTACTGAACGCATCATTACTGAACGCATCATTACTGAACGCATCATTACTGAACGCATCATTACTGAACGCATCATTACTGAACGCATCATTACCGATCGCATCATTACCGAACGCATCATTACGGAACGCATCATTACTGAACGCATCATTACTGAACGTATCATTACTGAACGTATCATTACTGAACGCATCATTACTGAACGCATCATTACTGAACGCATCGCAACTGAACGCATCGGCACTGAACGCATCGGCACTGAACGCATCATTACTGAACGCATCATTACTGAACGCATCATTACTGAACGCATCATTACTGAACGCATCGCCACTGAACGCATCGCCACTGAACGCATCATTACTGAACGCATCATTACTGAACGCATCGCCACTGAACGCATCACCACTGAACACATCGCCACTGAACGCATCGCCACTGAACGCATCGCCACTGAACGCATCGCCACTGAACGCATCATTACTGAACACATCGCCACTGAACGCATCATTACTGAACGCATCGCCACTGAACGCATCATTACTGAACGCATCATTACTGAACGCATCATTACTGAACGCATCATTACTGAACGCATCGCCACTGAACGCATCATTACTGAACGCATCATTACTGAACGCATCGCCACTGAACGCATCGCCACTGAACGCATCATTACTGAACACATCGCCACTGAACGCATCATTACTGAACGCATCATTACTGAACGCATCATTACTGAACGCATCGCCACTGAACGCATCATTACTGAACACATCGCCACTGAACGCATCATTACTGAACGCATCGCCACTGAACGCATCATTACTGAACACATCGCCACTGAACGCATCATTACTGAACGCATCGCCACTGAAAACAATTGTCTGCGAACAGCAGCGGCTCTCCACTTCGTTTGACCACCTGGCCTGTTCACTGCAGCATGATCCAGTCATCTCTAAATTTAATTCCTCCTGGCTCATGTTTAAACCAAAGTTTCGATTCAGTCTCTGCTGTCGACTCAAAGGCAGGAAGGAGTTTTAAAGGATTGTAAAGTTACAGCAGTTTAAAGCCTCTGGATCAGGAATCAAATCTTCTACTTCCCTGCAGTTTTGCCACATTATCAAATCAAAGAGTGAATCACAAGCAGCACGAAGACGAGGAAAACGAGGAAGACCTGCTAATCGGCTGGGGAGAGGAGTGGGCGGGGAATCAGGGAGAACAAAGGTCACGACCTGTGGAGTCATCAATGACTCACTAGATGGTTTTAGAGATAATCGGAGCGAGAACGGAGGAGCGGAGCAGAGTGTGTGAGGCACGGTGTGTGTGAGGCACGGAGCGTGTGAGGAACGGAGTGTGTGTGAGGCACGGTGTGTGTGTGAGGCACGGTGTGTGTGTGAGGCACGGTGTGTGTGTGAGGAATGGTGTGTGTGTGAGGCACGGTGTGTGTGAGTAACGGTGTGTGTGAGCGAGGAGGAACAGGCGTTGTGTGGAGGCGGAGGGATGAGAGCTGATCAGGAGTGGAGATAAGCTGGGATTGGACGGCGTGGAGTCGGTAAACGAGGAGGGAAAGCAAATGAAGAGAGGAACAGATGTAGACGGTGAAATTTGTCTGTTCTGGAGTGGATCACAGATCCCAGGTGAACCCAACAGAACCTGAAGGTCGATTCTATCCAATCAGATTCATCGTCTCTGAGCCGATACGGAGGAACGCCGACAGACGAGGCGCGAGGAACCGTCATCAGTTTTCATGGTTACCATGGTGACACTCTGTCTGGTTATATTTAAAACTTCAGACTGAAGAAGAAAAAACTTGCTGAAGATGTTCGCCTACACAGAACGACGGGTAGCTGCTGCTACGTCAGCTAAAGGACAGGGTGAGACCGGACCGGACCACGGCCTCGGACCGGACCGGACCGGACCACGGCCTCGGACCGGACCGGACCGGACCACGGCCTCGGACCGGACCGGACCACGGCCTCGGACCGGACCGGACCACGGCCTCGGACCGGACCGGACCACGGCCTCGGACCGGACCGGACCACGGCCTCAGACCGGACCGGACCACGGCCTCGGACATGAAAACTCCATGTCCTGCATAATTAAAGCTCCAAACTCCAACTGGAGCCTTTTAAGAAGAGTTTATCCAGAGTCAGAGTTGATATTCTTGCTCTCGGTCTGATCTAGTGAAAACGATCTGGAGGAGAATGAAGGTCTTTCCTCAGTGAAATTTACGCTCCTTTTACAAAGCCACACGTATCATCATGCATGTCAATAACCCCAGCCTATTGGACCAGAAGAGAGAAAAACATTTCTGCAGTAAAAGCCAGAAGCGGTTGTAAAGATTTTCTGGGACAGCAGCAGGGATGCCGCTCCTAACAGTAAAAGCTTCGTCAATAAATCATTATGAGACGGACAGACGGACCTCTGCCATCAGCACTGACAGACGAGAGCTGGGAAGTGAGCAGAAGGAGTTTATCTTCATCTATAAAGGAAACTTGAATCAGTCGGATCCGTCCTGATAAGAACCTGCTCAACCATGTCAGCTGCAAATTACAGCCTCTCCTCCGACAGGCAGCAATTACATGCAAATTAATCGGTTGATTTAGGCGGTTTAGAAGATAAATGACCTGAAGAGCTGGAGTCAGAACATCTCCAGATCCTAATACAGCGACACAGCGCTCGTCATTTCAGATCAGGTTCATTAATACGATCGTTTATCCACTTCTGTTCAGACTGTAATCAGCTTCCAGGAACCGGTTTGACTCCAGCGTCTCCACATGCAGCTGAACAGAAGTGGACCAGCCCACTTTGGTCACGTAGTTTTTAAAAATAGTTAACAGTGAGACATGTCAAATTCTGCTCAATGGAAAAAGCCTAAATAATAAAAACATTCCAGACAAACATACACGTCTGTCACAACTCAGCATAAGTTAACCTTCGATGAATCAAAATCTGAATTTGTGTGAAAACCAGTTAAAGTGTTAATGCTAAATCAGAAATCAAAGCATCGTCCAACTGATGAATGAGGTGAAAATGGCCTCCAGGGCTCATGATGTAAACACTGTAAAACCTAAATGTAAAAATAAAGTCAAACTATAATGTTCAAACTGAGCTGCAGCAGGACGGGAGCCACCTCAGACCAAGAGCTGAACCCAGTCAGATCTTCAGCTCTCAGTGAGACGCACCTGGACTTTGTAGTCTATTTTCAGTCTTTGTTTTCTCTAATTTAATTTTAAAAGAAAAAAAATCTAATTATTAATTTTTTGTTGTCTTATTTTGAAATGCAAGAACCAAAGACCCAGACAGAATCAGTACCGGGCCCTGAACCCAGTCACTGCGTTCAAAAGCTTTCTAGATTTCATGGAATGCAAAGAAACTGTTCATTTATCTTTAAACTAAATGAAAGATGATGAGCAGGTCAGTAGGAGGTGGAGACCCAACATGGCGGATGCCGATGTGATGGTGAAATGGTTCTGTGGGTTCTGGATGGAAACAGTTCTAATGAGGAAAAGCAAACGGTACCTGGCGTGCTGCTCGTCTTTTAGTCCTCCTGAAAAGGTGAGACTTGAACAAAAACAAGAATTCGGTTAAAAAGCAGCTTTAATTTGATGCCAACTTCTGCATTTTAATGGTAGCTGACTAACTTATAAAATGGGTATTTTTCCTCTAATGCAGTAAAAACTAATAACTGAAGACAAAAGATGAAAACATGAGCAGAAACTTTCTGTAGAGCTTATTGGACAGACAAAAACTTTGACTGGTCCAGAAGTGGAGGTTACAGAGCTGAATAAAAGCTTAAAACATTAAAGTGCATCTTCATGTCAAAATCCCACACAGACTGGTAGAGGAAACCTGGACTTTTACCTCCATCTTTAATCTGAGAACAGAGACAGGAAGCAAACAGATGGAAAGCTCAGAGGAAGAGTTTCAGTCTGCTTGTCCAGCTCTGGTCCCTCTGAGACCTTCTGAGGGTCCATGAAGTTCTGTTCCGTTAATCTGGAGGGAACCTGCTGTCATCAGCACAGCTGGGGGCAGTATGGGCCAGGATGGTGCTGGCAGAACCACAGACTGGACCCAGAACCAGAGACTGAGACCCAGAACCAGAGACTGGACCACAGAACCAGAGACTGGACCCCAGAACCAGAGACTGAGACCCAGAACCAGAGACTGGACCCCAGAACCAGGAACTGGACCCCAGAACCACAGACTGAGCCCCAGAACCAGGGACTGGACCCCAGAACCAGAGACTGAGCCCCAGAACCACAGACTGGACCCCAGAACCAGAGACTGAGCCCCAGAACCAGGGACTGGACCCCAGAACCACAGACTGAGCCCCAGAACCACAGACTGGACCCCAGAACCAGAAACTGGACCACAGAACCAGAGACTGAGCCTCAGAACCAGGGACTGGACCCCAGAACCAGAGACTGAGCCCCAGAACCAGGGACTGGACCCCAGAACCACAGACTGAGCCCCAGAACCAGGGACTGGACCCCAGAACCACAGACTGAGCCCCAGAACCACAGACAGGACCCCAGAACCAGAGACTGGACCCCAGACCCACAGACTGGACCACAGAGCCACAGACTGGACCTCAGAACCAGAGACTGAGCCCAAGAACCACAGACTGGACCACAGAGCCACAGACTGGACCTCAGAACCAGAGACTGGACCCCAGAGCCAGAGACTGGACCCCAGAACCAGAGACTGAGCCCCAGAACCACAGACTGGACCTCAGAACCAGAGACTGGACCCCAGAGCCAGAGACTGAGACCCAGAACCACAGACTGGACCCCAGAACCAGAGACTGAGCCCCAGAACCAGAGACTGAGCCCCAGAACCAGAGACTGGACCCCAGAACCACAGACTGGACCCCAGAACCAGAGACTGGACCCCAGAACCAGAGACTGGACCCCAGAACCACAGACTGAGCCCCAGAACCACAGACAGGACCCCAGAACCACAGACTGGACCCCAGAACCAGAGACTGGACCCCAGAGCCAGAGACTGAGCCTCAGAACCAGAGACTGGACCCCAGAACCACAGACTGGACCCCAGAACCACAGACTGGACCCAGAACCACAGACTGGACCCCAGAACCAGAGACTGAGCCCCAGAACCACAGACTGGACCCCAGATCCACAAACTGGACCCCAGAACCACAGACTGGACCCAGAACCACAGACTGGACCCCAGAACCAGATACTGGACCCCAGAACCACAGACTGGACCCCAGAACCACAGACTGAGCCCAAGAACTACAGACTTGTCCCCAGACCCACAGGCTGGACCCCAGAACCACAGACTGGACCCCAGAACCACAGACTGGACCCCAGAACCACAGACTGGACCCCAGAACCACAGACTGGACCCCAGAACCAGAGACTGGACCCCAGAACCAGAGACTGGACCCCAGACCCACAGACTGGACCCCAGAACCACAGACTGGACCCCAGAACCACAGACTGGACCACAGAACCACAGACTGGACCACAGAACCAGAGACTGGACACCAGAACCAGAGACTGGACCACAGAACCATAGACTGGACCACAGAACCATAGACTGTACCCCAGAACCAGAGAATGGACCCCAGACCCACAGACTGGACCACAGAACCACAGACTGGACCCCAGAGCCACAGACTGGACACCAGAACCAGAGACTGGACCACAGAACCATAGACTGGACCACAGAACCATAGACTGTACCCCAGAACCAGAGAATGGACCCCAGAACCAGAGACTGGACCCCAGAACCAGAGACTGGACCCCAGAACCAGAGACTGGACCACAGAACCAGAGACTGGACCCCAGAACCAGAGACTGGACCACAGAACCAGAGACTGGACCACAGAACCAGAGACTGTACCCCAGAACCAGAGACTGGACCCCAGAACCAGAGACTGGACCACAGAACCAGAGACTGGACCCCAGAACCACAGACTGGACCACAGAACCAGAGACTGGACCCCAGAACCAGAGACTGGACCACAGAACCAGAGACTGGACCCCAGAACCAGAGACTGGACCACAGAACCAGAGACTGGACCACAGAACCAGATGGAAGTTCTGATCTTAAAGTAAAAGCGACTATCCAGAACTCTGTCTCGGTATCAGAACGTTTCTGATGATGGACTGAATCTAATATTTATTTCTCCAGGTTTGTTTTCTGAATGAAGCACCTGGGAAATCTGATCTCAAGGACATGAACACTCATTAGAGCTGGGATTACCGGCACAAACTCATCTTTTCTTCCAAACCTTCAGGTTTGTGTTGAATTGATTTGCTTTTTGAGCTTTTTAAATGGGAACAAAGCCGTTCCAAGCCAGAGCTGCTCAGATGTTTGGTTATTAATTAAATAAATCTCTGATGTTAACAGAAGAAACAACCTCAGACAGATCATTGCTGACTCTTCCAACACTGTAGCAGTCAGTGTTACAGCAGCTCTGCAGAAGCTTCTGACTGAAGTAGTTCAGGTGTCTAGTTTTTGTACGTCGGTTTTATTCTGCTCTCAGTCTTACTTTTTAAATTACTCTAAACACGTTTGGTTGTTTTATCACCTTACTGCTGTAACATTTCTAAAACGACAGTTCACTTCATCAGCACGACTGTGGAAAATATAACTGAAATATTAAGTCTGTTCAGGTCATATTCCTCGTTCCTGGACTCTAATATTCATACAGATTATTTATTAATGCTCTTGTTACTTTAGTTTCTGCAAAGGACAAAGAAGCAGCTTTTTTCCTGCATTTGTCATCTCTAGGGACCAATTCCATTTTAATATTCAAATGAACTTCAGCTATTATTATTGAACAGATTAGTTTTTCATTTCAGATACTATCTCCATATTCCCAGCTAGCTGCTCTGGTTTGCCAAGCAGTAAATTGGATTCTTCTGATGGTTTTTATGTTAATCTACAGTTTGAAGTTCCTTTAAAACACACTGAATAACTGGACGCTTTAATTAGCCGAGAGGCTCCAAACAATGGAGAACAGCAGCTTAATGTGACGCTGTGGGTTTAAAATAAAACGTTCAGACAGTTAAACTGTCCTGAAGCTCAGCCTGGAGTCCAGATTCAGAAAATCTGAACCAGGTAGAAAACTTCACCTGAACTCGTCGTTCAGTTTGAAATCCCTGGGATCCGACACAAACTTCCATCTTCATCTGCAGGGGCAGCACAGAAACCCAGAGGTGATGCATCCACAGCAGGAGGAGGATGCGGGGTCACCGGGGCGACCCATGCCTCACCCCGCTCCACTGAGGGCGGCTCTGACTCACTCCCAGTTAAATATGGACGCTGGGACGTCTCGCTGTCTCCTCACATAACAGACCCTCTGCAGCAGGAGCTGAGAAAAACCGTCTAAATGCTTTTTTCACCCAGACGGCGTGAACCAGTGGAGAAGACCAGCATCACCCAGGAAACCAGTGACACACGGCAGACCTGAATAATCTAGCTAGCTCCAGCGGATATCAGAGAACATTTTCAGTTCATTTAAATGCAGGAATGTGTGGACACTCTCTAAAACAAAAATCTTTTTTCAGAGATTTTCTGCTGTCGTACGAAGAAACCAAAACCAGAAACTCCTCCCCACCCGGTGATGCTGCGACAGATAATCTGGATGAAACACTACAGACAGCAAACTGTTTAGAGCAGGTTTCCATCAGGTCTGATGGCTGCTGTTCCTTTAGCTCCTGCTGGAGCCCATGTCTTAGCTGGAATCATGTTTCATAGTTTTACTAAGCCACAGTTGGACTGCACTCCTCCTGCTTTCAATCCTCTTACCTTCTCCATCTCGCTGCTCTTCCTCTTGCGTCCCGTCCGGTTGAGCTTGACGGTGACGGCGCTGTCGTCGCCCTGCCGCCGCAGCGCCAGCCGGTCGGGCTGCAGCGGGCTGAACGAGATCTCCAGCTCCGGCCGGGGGAAGCGGCTCCTCCGGCCCGTTTCTGTGGAAACCTCGGAGGACTCCAGCACCGAGGGGAAGCCTGACGAACCCTGCGGCAACAGCAACACTGAACTCAGCTGCAGCACCAAAGAGACACTGATGCTTTGACTAGGCCCTTCTCCTACACCCAGTTCACACTACACGATTCTTTGCCCAATTTGTCCCCTTTCAACAATTGTAGAAAGCCCAACGTTCTAAGATTGGCGCTTGCGATAATCGTAACCGATCATCCCGCAGTGTGCTTCTGTGTTACAACTGATCGGGTCCAGTCGGTACAACGAGACCACTCCCATCTAAAATCGGTCACGTTGGATTGTCTTGACCCGTTTATCACTGCAGCGTGTGCAGTTTTCCCTGACAGAGGGACAACGCAGCCTGTGTGACAGGTAGCCAATGAGAAAGCCCGGTGGGAGTCGTAAGCCGGAGGACAATCCCAAACAGCTGACAAGGTGCAACCGAACAACATAAATGTACATTCAACATTTCATGCAAGGACTAGCCATAGAAATGACAAGGAAATTGACAGATGCAGCTGGTTTATGCAGGATTTTCTGTCTGGAGTCTGAATGTCAGCGAGAGGAATCGGTTCATGTGGAGCGTTGCTCTTGGCGTGTGGCTGGACACACCACAATCAAACCCGTCATACCCAAGATGCTTTTTGTCGGCTAGTGTGTGGTCTGTCAGGTTTTGAAAATGGTGTAGCGTGAAGTTGACTTACCCGACTGCTGGCAGACGATCTGGTCTCCCTTCTCTGTGGCTGCAGCGGTTCAGCCTTTGCTTTCTTCGCCAGAGCAGAACTCTCACTCTGTGGAGGAAAACACATTATTCACATCAATCACCTAAAACCAAAACAATATATGTAAATCATCTGGACTTAATGTAGGGATTAAAAAATATGATTCAACCCAAATTTATAAGGAAACATCCAGGAAAAAAAAACTGAAGTTTTTTTCTTCCAGGAAAATGTTGATGACACTATAAATGTTTTTGCTACAACGTTTCATCCGTTTCCAGAAATATTCACTGATATTTGAACATTATTAACGTCTTCATTTAAAGTGTGGGGAACAACTCAGATACTGAAGAGGTTCTACATATTTACAGGTTGTAAACTATTTGAGTGTTTCTGCAGCAGTTTAAATGCTTCAGTATTTCAAACTGGGTCATTTGTTTTGCTGTGAAACTTCAGAACTCTCCTGCTTGTCCGATAAACTCTGAGCGAAGACGGTTCTGACCTGCTCTGCTGCGTTTTCCTGGAGGCTTTCCTTCAGCCGCACAATCTCTGCTTCCTTCTCCGTTAGAGCTGCCTGCAGCTCTGCCACTTTGAGAGAACGACAGCCACCATTAACCTGCAACACACAAACACACATTAGAGCCACTGAACCACAGGAGCCTCTCCAGGCACCATTCAATTCCCGAGGCAAATGGAAAGGAAAGCCACTAAATAAATAACGTTGGAATTATTCCCAAAGCTGAAGCTCAGCTGTCAGGACAGAAACATTGTCTTAATTAGACAATATGAAAAAAACTAGTCGACTAAAACAACAATTTATCATCAGAAAGTCCAAACCCAGAGTCCGGCCTTCAGATGGTCCAAAACATGGCAGCTGCCTGCTCTGTCCAGAACAGAATCCAGATGGTTCTGGCTAGCTCTATGCTAGTTATTAGCTGTGGAGCTCCAGGTGTGTGTGACACACGTCACATCAGCTGAGTCTCAGTTTAATTGTCCAGCCAGCTGTGGCGCCATCACCAAGGTGACGTGGTCCTGCAGACACTTCCTGCTCTGGTTGGAGCGGCTTGGCTGATGAAGCTCTCAACTTGATTTAAAAGTTCCCATATTCAGCTCTGAGTCACATCAACTGAGCAACAGCATCCACAGAAAGTTTTAAGTGTTCTTAGCAATTGGTTCTGTTCACTCATTGATCCGTTTTTGTTTTGTCTTTAAATGATAATTTGTAGCATCGTTATAGAGCTACCCAGGCAATTTAGCCCTAATGTAATTATTGTTATTTAGCCTTAAACGTTACGCTGGTTATTCTACAGAGAGAACTGTGGACGGAAAAAGTCCAGTGAGAAAAAATTCCCCATGTACGACAGATGAAATAATCCTTCCAGGATAAAATGATTAACTTAATTAAGCCCAACTAAAATCCTAAATCCTTCATTTTCCTTCACTCTGCTCCCAATCAGTCAGACGGAGAGCAGAGGTAAAAATATGGAACCTTTCAGTTCAGATTTCTGATTTACTTTCACCAAACCCTGGTCATTTTTGATCGTTAATAACGTCTGATTTATGGTCAGGTGTGAGGAGGGATGTGTGGCGCTGCACTGACCCCTGCTGGTGACGCTGTGCTCTCCTGCTGCAGCTCCTTGATAAGCTTGTCTTTGTCCGCCTGGCTGGCCAGCAGCTTCTGCAGCTGCACCTCCAGAGCAGCGACCAGCGTGTCCCGCTCCGCCCTCCAGCTCTCCATGGCCGCCTCCTTCTCCTCCAGCCTGGACTCCTTGGAGCAGACGGAGACGTGTTGGAAAAACATCTGGAGCTGCAGATGTGTCACTGTCCGGCTCTTACCAGGAGGTTCTGCTGGCGACAGTAGCGCTCTCGGTCTTCAACAAACTTCCTCATCTCCTGGTTCCTCTTGTCCTCCGCCTCTTTGGCCTGGCCAATCAGAGACAGCTTCTCCTCCTGCCACTTCCTGCGTTCAGCCTGCTGTTTCTCTGTCAACACCTGCAGGAGAAGCAGACGTCCATCTGTCCACATGTCCAACGTCTCTCATCCAGACAGACTCCAGCTCTGCAGCTTCTACCTTTAAGCTCTGCTGGGCTCGGGAAGCTTCGTCTCTGGCCAGCCGGAGGTCGTCTGAAGGTCGGCCGGACCCTCTGTTCTGCTCCAGCAGCTTCCCTTTCAGCTTCTCTACCTCTGAAACAGAACACAACCAACTGGTTGCATCATTCTGTCAGTAAAGTCACCAGTTTGTAGACAGATCTGAAGTTTTTGGTGTTGAATGATGGAGTGAAGGCGTTGCCTGGTTCTTGTCCAGGTGTTGGCGTCTCACCTGCAGAGAGCTCCTGCACCACACGCGTCTTGTCGTCCAGGACCTGCTCCATCTGCTGCTGCGTCTCCTCCTGCTCCGTCAGCGCCAGCCGCATGTCCTCCACCACCCGCTGCTTGGCCTGCAGCTCTGCAGGAGCAGACAGGAACATGGCTGACCTCAACTGCTTCGCAAAAGCAACAGCCTGAGGGAGGACTCGGCTGGACTGTGGCCCTCAATGTTTTCACATTTATTTTTAAGGAGTCCTGTCATGCTTCCGGTCAGGGCTGTAAATGTTCCATGTTTTGTGTGAGATCTTTCTCCGATGATGAGATTTCATCTCGTCTGCTCATTTCTTCCAGAATGAGCTGCTTTAGTGTTCTGTCACTTTTATGCAAATAAGCTGCTGCTGGCCACGCCCCCAATCTCAACATGTGCATTTTAAAAACAATAAAATGGCTGCAAACAGAAGCGCAACAGAAACACCTGTACACAGAGACACTGTTAAAAGTGAATTTTTGTTTCAAAATCCCTGATTTTGTGGAGCTACTTAATTTGTAGCTTATAATTTTTCAACATTTTTTCTTCAAACTTCTTCCAAAATCTACATATAGAAGAAAAATGGAGAAATGATGATCATTATCACAAAAACTCTGAATTATGCATCAGCAAACATCAAAACAACTAAAGTGGAGGAATATTTCATCAGCCTGATGGAGACTAATCCAGGAGGATCAGGGAGCGGTTCTCTACCTGTACAGGCCTCCTGGTAGAGCTGGGCAGCCTTAGAGTCCTGTTGCTCCTGGAACAACAGAAACATGAGGAGCTGTTAGCATCCGGCAGACTGGGAGGAAACGGACACAGCTGGAAACATCAGGGTTGTTTTACGGCTCTGAGCTGCTGGATGGTTCTGTCTCTGCTGCTCAGGTCCAACTGCAGCTGCTTCTTGGTTTTTTCCGCGTCAGAAAGCTTCTGCTTCAGGGCCGTCTCCCCTGCTCTCATGGCCGACACCTGAAACCAAGACCAGTTTCTGCAGGTTTTACCAACTCACACTGCAGACTTTTTAAGACTTATGAATTCTCTCTTGACTCCATGCTCTACTCACAACTTTGTTGAAATAAAATGTATTTAAAATCCACTTAACTTGCAGCATCAGTTTGTGTTACACCAAATGCTGCCCTTGGACTAGTGCTAACAGCAGCAAAGTAGACTGTATTTTCTGAGCCAAAGCATTAGCACTGAATGCACACAGCATCAAATGGGTTGGCAACAGAAGTGAGCAAATGGTGGAGACTAACTTCACCCAACAGGCTATAAATTTACACTCACCCATAAGACAGGAAAAAAGCGAGCTAGCAAAGTGTTAGCAGGAAGTTAGCAGCAGCCTGAACCGCATCGAGTTACAGAGAGCAATGAAGTCTGCCTGAAACAGGTTTTATAAAAATATAAAGTATTTAAAACCGACTTACATTGTTTGTGTTGATTTAAGGCCTCATGTATTTTAGATACATAAATGTAAGACTTTTTAAAAATGTGCAGACGCCCTGAAAACAAACCATGAGCTCCAGATTAAGATATTCTAATTTCCAGAGGTTTAGTCAGCCTTGTGTAAAACCCGGCTGTGGATGAGTTGAGCCCCTATCCTCCAGTGTTCTGATACGGACCTCCTTCTGGACCTGCTGGACCTGCTTCCTGTAGTCGGCCAGCTTCTCTCTGAGGTCTGACGAGTTGTCCTCCTTCCTCTGTAGCTCCAGACGGAGGCTCTTCACCTGCTGCGCCTCCTCCTGAGCCACCAGCTTCAGCCTGGACAGAGACACAGGAAGGAGGAGAGATCAGGAAGGAGGTTCAGGAAGAGATGAAGAAACGGTTTAATCTCCGTCGTTACCTGCTGATCTCCCCGGCTTTCTTCTCCATCTCGGCATCCTTCTCAGCTAAGGCCTCATGAGCCGCAGCCATCAGCTCCTGCCGCCGCTCCACCTCCTTCCTCCTCACTTCCTGGACAGCAAAGCTCTCCTCCTCCTCGCGTCGCTCTGATTCCTGCAGCTTCTCCTGCAAGGTCACAACCTTTTGCTCGGCTTCCTGCAGCTTCTCCTGCAAGGTCATAAACTGTTCCTCTACTTCCTGCAGTTTCCTTTGCAGAGTCACATCCTGTTGGTGCGACTCCTTCAGTTTCTCCTGCAGGGTCGTGACCTGATGTTCTGCCTCCTGCAAATTGTCCTGCAGGGTCGTGACCTGTTGCTTTGCTTCCTGCAGGGTCGCGACTTTTCGCTCCGACTCATGCAGATTCTCCTGCAGAGTCGCGACCTGTTGCTCTGCTTGATGCAGGGTCACGACCTTTTGCTCTAACTGATGCAGCTTCTCTTTCAGGGTCGCGACCTGTTGCTCTGCTTCCTGCAGGGTCGCGACCTTTTGCTCTAACTGATGCAGCTTCTCTTTCAGGGTCGCGACCTGTTGCTCTGCTTCCTGCAGGGTCACGACCTTTTGCTCTGACTGATGCAGCTTCTCCTGCAGGGTCGCGACCTGTTGCTCTGCTTTCTGCAAGGTCGCGACCTTTTGCTCTGATTGATGCAGCTTCTCTTTCAGGGTCGCGACCTGTTGCTCTGATTGATGCAGCTTCTCCTGCAGGGTCACAACCTGTTGCTCTGCTTCCTGCAGGGTCACGACCTTTTGCTCTAACTGATGCAGCTTCTCTTTCAGGGTCGCGACCTGTTGCTCTGCTTCCTGCAGGGTCACGACCTTTTGCTCTGATTGATGCAGCTTTTCCTGCAGGGTCGTGACCTGTTGCTCTGATTGATGCAGCTTCTCCTGCAGGGTCACAACCTGTTGCTCTGCTTCCTGCAGGGTCACGACCTTTTGCTCTGACTGATGCAGCTTCTCCTGCAGGGTCACAACCTGTTGCTCTGCTTTCTGCAGGGTCGTGACCTTTTGCTTTGCTTCCTGCAGGGTCGCGACTTTTTTCTCTGATTCAAGCAGATTCTCTTGCAGGGTCGTGACCTTTTGCTCTGACTGACCCAGATTCTCCTGTAAGATTACAACCTTTCGTTCTGATTCAAGCAGATTCTCCTGCAGGGTCGTGACCTTTTGCTCTGACTGATGCAGATTCTCCTGCAGGGTTGCGACTTTTTGCTCTGATTCAAGCAGATTCTCCTGCAGGGTCGTGACCTTTTGCTCTGACTGATGCAGGTTCTCCTGCAGGGTCGCGACCTTTCGCTCTGCTTTCTGCAGCTCTGCTTCCCTCTCAGCAGATCTTCTCTCCATCTCAGCCAGCTTCTCCTCCAGCTGTCGGTCCTTCTCTCGTCTCATCTGCTCCATCTCAGAGGAAGCCTCTTCCCTCAGGGACGTGAGCTCTCTCTGGAGGTCAGAGTTCACCCTGTGCAGGTCCTCAGCGCTGGTTGAGGCAGTGCTGCTGTGGACCTCAGCTTCTCTCAGGTCGTCTCTCAGTTTCTCTGCAGCTTCCTGCTGCAGTCTGAGCTTCAGCTGCAGCTGCTCTGCTTTCTGATTGGACGCTTCCTGTTGGGTTTCCAGCTGGACTCGCAGTTCTTCCTGCTCCTCAAGCTTCCGCTGCAGTTCTCTGACCTGCTGCTCTACTGCAGCCTCTCTCTGTTTCCTCTCCTCCTCCAACTGCTGGATGAGTTTCTGCTTCGCCTCACTACTCTTCTTCTCCTCCTCTTCCCGCCTCTTTCTGAGCTCAGAGACTTCCTCCCTCAGCTGGCTGTCGACACCATCAGAGGAAGAGAAAGTAGGCGTGTGGAGCTGCTGCTGCTTCAACTCCTCTGTGAGGATGTGGATCTGGTTGGGTTGATCCAGGATCTTCTCCTCTAGCTCCTCCACAGCAGTCTGCACCGACTCTGCCTCTCGGAGCGCCTGCTGCTGCCGCCGGCTCTCCTCCAGAGCAGACTGCGCCTCCTCCCTGGCTCGCCGCTCCTCCTGGAGGGAGGCCAGTGCCTCCTCCTTCCCCAGAGTCTGGTACTCCAGCGCAGCCATCAGCTCCTCTCTCCTCGTCTGCTCCTTCTGAAGCGCAGCCAGAGCTTCCTGAAAGGAGAAGAACTCATCATTTCTGAAGAAATTTAAATGAAATCACTGCAGGTCACACAGCGCCGCGAGGTCATGAAAAAGAGACGCATCAGCAAAATGAACTACACTTCTGCAGGTGGGATTGTCATGGAAACCTGTTGATCTAGAAAACTGTAAAGATACAGGAGAGTAAAATAATGTTTTCTGGGTTCTTTCTGATGGATTGTGCAGATTTTCATGGAGTCTTAAGGCAGAACCCAGTTATAGCACAAGACAACAGGCCCGATGGGAGAAGATTAAAGCTTAACTAAACAACCAAATCATTTTATTTGGAGATAAACTGTCTAAATATTCTCATTAGTTCCATCTTTATTTATTTCTTCCACAATGCTGCCTTGCTATAGATCAGCAGTGTCCCTCCGTTCCCCATAACAAGGGGAAGTATTGAAAAAATATCAGGAAGTTACTCTCAATATTTTTTGAAATAGCAGGAGTTTAGTCTACCTCTCAGGTGTTTCTTACCTGGAGCTGACTGTCATCTTTGCCTTGGTCAGAGCTGTTCTGTGAGCAAAGCTCGACCTTCTTCTGCAGGTCCTCCAGCTGCTGCTCCATCTGCTTCACCTGCACTGACTTTTCCTGGAGCTGAAGAAGAAGCAATTTCTTTTCTTCTGCTTCATCAGCTTCACAGGAAAAGAAAAACAGAGAAAACAACATTCATTTCCAGTCTCTGCTGGGCCGTTTCCTCCTGATGCCTTCAGGTGTTGTTGGTACCTCTGTGGTTCTGATCGTCTCCAGGTTTCTTTTCAGCCGGTCCGGATCGGAGGCTGAAGTGAGACGCTCCTGGCAGCTCAGAGGCCTGACAGCTCAGAAATCTGTCCTGAAAGGAAAAAGGCATGAAAAATATTAGAAATCTGCCACTGATCCAGAGATCCAGTCAGTGTGTATCCCCTGGTCAGAAGGCGCTACCATAGTGACCGCGTCCGCGCTGCAGCCGGCTGAGGACATGTTCCTGGTCAGGTTCTTGAAGATCTCCAGCCTCCTTTCAGCTCGCTCCTCCAGGATCTCCCTCTCCCTGACCAGGCGCTCACTGACATGCACACACAGACACCAGTTAGTGGTTCTGGTTCTAAACCGGTTCGGAGCAGAGGAGGGAAGCTACATCTCACTCGTAGTCCTTCTGCATGTCGGAGAACAGCTCTGAGAACTCGCGGCTGATCTCCTCTCTGACCCGGGCCTCCAGCAGCAGGTTCTCCGAGCGCTCCATCTTGAGCTGGACCTGCAGCTGCCTCAACAGCGCCATCTGCTGCTACAAGAACAGCAAGGAGAGACACGACACTGTAACAGCAGCAGGAGACGTTTCTGCAAACCCAGTCAGTTTGGTTCTGAGGTTAACAGCCGTCCCGAATCGCTCCGACATTAAAACTCATCTGAAGCAATGAGCAACAAACTCAAGGTGCGCTGGGAGAGATGGACTCAGAGTTTCATCACAACGTTTTGTGGTAGTATTGTGATAAAAATTAAAATGGTGATAAGAGTTATTCATTACGTTTTTATGACTGTGAACGCTAAAAAATAAACGATACAATAAGTGCCCACCCTACCTCATGCGACGCTTTGTTGATAATGACTTTCTCTTCTTCTTCTTCGTCGGTCTCCGGAGTGTCCTGCATGACACAGTCATCTTCTTCTTCTTCTTCCTCCTCCTCCTCTTCTTCTTCGTCATCCTCCGGAACGTCCTCCAGGCTGGTCTCCCAGCTGGCATTCCTCCTCCCTGAGGCTCGGACAGGGGAGGAGTCACTGCAGGAAGGGACGGCAGGGAGCGGCCTGGAAATCAGGACGACCACCTGGAAGCACGGGAACAACAGACCTCAATCAGTAAGTCCCAATGTGGCCGAGGGGACATTCATGACAGCAGTGTGTAACCTGCAGCTCTGGAGAAGAAATGGCTCTGAAATATCTGGCTCAAAAAAGTGCAGAATCAACTAATTTTGAATTAAAAAAGTTATTAATATAATAAAAAAATCTGATTTCAATTGTTTTTTTTTTTTTTAAGTTTTTGTAAAGAATAAATGTGACTTTGAATTTCCACCACAGAATAAAAGAAGTTTGGTATCTAAAGGTCAAAGGTTTAGGATATAATACGGCTGTGATCTGGTTAAAGCTGCATAACGACACCCTGGACTCCAGCTGCATTAAGTTATGTAAAGGGTCATACAGACAGTCTGCATCCAGTTCAGAAAGGGAGGAAATCAGAGTAATTTAAGACCTGGAAATGCCGAGTCACTGGTTGCCAGGGTGATTCCTGCCTGTACTAGAGAGCAGGGGGAGCCCACAGCACCACTCCTCCTCAGTCAGAAACATTTAACCCTGACGGCTCTCCAGGGACAAAGAGGAGGACTGCACAGACCTTCTGGGCCACAGCGGAGAACTTGAGGACGTTGAGGGTCTCGTCGTACATGGAGGCGCACTGGTTGATGTTGACGATCATGCAGGCTTTGCCCCGGCCGCAGAAGAAGCTCTGCAGGTAGTGTGTGAGCTTGCTCTCCCTGAAGGGAATGTGCTGCAGCAGCCTGAAGGCAGGAGACAACAGACTGCTGGTGGAAACACGACTCAACCCAAACGTTAAGAAAAAAGAAGTGTCTTGAGTTTTTATATTTCAAAACAGAACTGGATGAAGTGCATTTGCATGGCACCCTCTGGAAAGTTCAGACATTTCAAGGCTTTAACTTTTTCCTGTGAACGGGTCAGAACCAGCAGAGGGAACTGACTCACTTGGCCTGCTGGTTGTAGCGCAGAGCTTTGATGCACTTCCCCAGGATGAGCAGCGAGGCGTTGATGTTTCCTGCCTCCTTCAGGCGCTCTCCTTTGTTCTGAGTCTTGGCGCATCGCTCAGAGCCGGCCAGGTCACACAGACACAACCTGCAGGGCAGAGCGGCCATGTTTAACCTGCACACGCTGGAGCAGGTGAGGTTCCCCTCTACTCACTCGCTGATGGTGAGGACTCTGGGCGGGTCGTCATCCTCTATGCTCAGAATCCGGATGGAGAAGATGCTGTGACTGGAAGCAGACAATCGGCCATTAGAGAGCAGCAGGAAGCAGCTGGGCGTGAGGAAAGATGGCAGCGCTGCTCACCTCCTGCTGGAGAGCTGGTTGAGGCGAGTGGAGGAGAAGCTCTGGTTTCTCCGGCCCAGTTTCACCACTCTGAACGCCTCCTCAGCGCTGCTCACCTGGACCCAGCGCAGATCTGAACACACAGCAGCCATCAGTCACTTCCTGTCTGACATCAGAAAACCTTCAGCTGCAGCTCAGCGCCCTGACCTTTGACATAGGCGTTGCTATTGGCGTCCTGTGCCAGCCGAAGCGCCGGCCTGCGCGGTGCCCCGCTCGGTGCCACTTCCAGGAGGTCGTGGATGTTCTCGTTGTAGATCTCACAGAAGGAGACCCAGACGGAGAACTTGGTGTTGGGTTTGACGTCCAGGATGATTCTGTCTTGGGCTGCAGTACTGGGCCGCGGTGCAGAGGAGCCTGCAGACAACAGACCTTCTAAAACCCTACAGACAGCTGCAGAGAAACACGCTGTCTTAAAGCTACATCTCCAAACACTCACACAAAAATTATCTGTATGTCCTGACAGTAAAATATAAAACAGTTAATCTGATCAAATAAAATCTAATCTCCTCTGCCATCTGCAGAAATATATCGCTTGGTAAAAGACACCCAGTTAGAGCCAGGAGGAGGGTCTTAACGCTGTCAATCATTCTGGTGTATACACTGGCTCTGATTGGTTGTGTCTGACTGTATTGGTGTATTTCTGCAGATGGCAGTAGGACCACTGGGAAGAGTCTGACTAAATGTTTCAAATTATTCTGTCAGGACAGTGACAGTTTCAACACGTATGTACAACACATTTTTATTAAAATTGCCTACTGCAGCTTTAGTCAGTGAAATATTTAGAAAAGCTGTTGGTTGAAATAAACAGGTATCAGACTCACCTTCAAACCAAGTCTGGTTGGTCGTGTTCTGCAGGCTGCTGCTCCTCTTCTCATTCTGAAGGAAACAGAATAAATGAATTACATCCAGCATCAGGTGACCTCCAGAGGTCAACAGATTTCCCAGCAACGCTGAGCAGAAAGTCGAGCTTTCCTCTTAAAAGTGAACTTTACTGATCCAGACTGAGTTACCATGTTAACTCAGTCTAGATGACCGAGTACAAATTCAGTTTTAAGAATATTCATTGAATTTCTCTCAGAAATATCTGCCTAAAAATACAAAATTTATGCCACAGAAATGTGTTGTTAAGATGGTAACTGGGTCAGTTCAGATTATTTATTCAGTGGAAATTTACTACAAATGTCGCCTGAAGGACTTAAAATAAATCTAACTTAAAACAGAAATCTAACAAATTCACTTCAGTCATATAAACACATTCAAAGTTTGAGAGAGAAACTCTACTAATGTCGGCTTCCTGTAGAACTAACGCTTGTCATTAATATTTAATGCAATGAAGATTAGAAATGTATGTTCATCCTTTCACTGTTGCATAACCAGGTTTATTCAGCTGGCATGCAACCATGATAAAATCATTTCAGAGTCTAACTGAAAGTCTGCCTCCTAAACAGTTAGTTTTGCTTCCGTTGTGCCCGTCCGGGTCCAGCGGGTGTCGGACCCGGAGCCGCTCACCTCTCTGAGTTGTTTGAGCAAGGTGTTCTTGAACTGCGCCTCGTCGGCCTGCTGCTGGCGGCTCAGAGCCAGGAACTCCCTGCAGCGGTGCGGCTTGACGCTCAGGCCCTGGAATACGTCGTCACCGATGCTGCTGAAGATGAGGCGCAGCGCCCGGGGCAGGATTCCAGCTTCAGCTTCAGAGTCGGGACCTTCAGCAGCACAAACAGCAGCACAGTCAGATCTGAGTGCTCCCTACAGGCAGCAGGTCCTTCACACTGCGGGTTGCTGTACCGAGGAACGTGAAGGTCTTCCCAGAGTTGCTGACTCCATAGGTGAATACCAGGGAGTTTTCTCCTTCCAGGACATCTCTGACTAGATCTTTGACGGTGCCTTCAAACAGCTCACTTTGTGTTGTTTCTGGGCCATAAACCTTAAAAAGACAGAACCATTATATAAATCCTCCTTTCATCTGAGAAACATTCAGTAAAAAGACTAAAAGCTGATGAGTTTTTATTCATTTAAAAATTAACAGTCATACAAATATACTGATGCTTCATAATAAACATCTATTCATCTTCCAATTTCTTCGCTCTTGCTAAAGGAGTTAGCACTACCGCCTGCTAGTTGCGTTATCTCAAATCCCTGCCAATGATTCTAGCTCTTGCTAATGCCGTTAGCTCTAGTAATGATTAGCTACAGCAAATAGCAATAGATCTTGTTAATGTGTGAGCTGCTGCTAATGGTGTTAGCTCTATTTAATATAGTAAACAGTAGATAGGCCAATCACATTAGCTTGTTTCCATAGATAACTTGCATATGGCAGCAGATAAAAACTTTGAGCTGGTTTGTCTCCATTCAGACCGTTTGTGGGTGGCTCTCATCAGCCTCCACCACCATGGCGTTTTGTTGTTTGTTTGATTCACTATGACCTAAATGCATCATTGGCCCAGCAGGCATTATACAGCTGAGAAAGTTGCAGCCTAAATAAGTGGAAAATATAATAAAGATACATTATGTTTTTTTATGAATAACAATAACTTATGTACATTTTGTGATGTAACTAATAACCAACTAATTGTGGATCCATTTAACAAGAATCAGATGGACTTCCTGTTTATGTCCCAGTCAAAGTCTCACCCTGGAGAACTGGAAGCGCTGGCCGGTCTGAGGAAGGGATTTATCACTGCTGAGCCGGGCCAACAGGGACAGACTGGGAGGCTTCAGGAGAACCGTGTCTGGGGTTTCCACAGCAACACAGTCCTGCAACAAAGGCAAACAGATCTGTGTGATCTGCTGCAGGTCGTCTTCCACATTAATTTAACATCGTCTCCAGTTAGAAGCACTTCTACCTGTGACTCTCCGCTGCTCGTTTCTGCTGAGGTCAAGGGTCGGATTCTGAGGTAAACCTGCAGGTGTTCTTTATCCTCCATGCAGGAATGCTGCAGAACAAAACAAAACAAAACAAACGTAAAACACTGCAGCTCAATGAAGGCAGATCCCAGCAGGTGGCATGTTGAGATTCAACACTTTAAAATAACTTAACCACCAAACAGCTCGGACTGACCGGTAGTTGTGTTGAGGGGATGAACTCTGCTGAGAGTTTACTCCTCCCATCTTCAGCGAGTCTCCGTAGGTCAGTCTGGTTCAGGCAGGACTCGGTCATTTTTCTACAGAGGCAGAAAAACACAGATTCTCTAAAGCCAGAAACTTCTCGACGGCAATTAAGGTTTCAACGAACTGACAAATCAGGGCAGGATGTATGGAGAAGCCCCCTGCCTCCAGGATGTTAGAACTGACCGAAATTTCTTGTTTTCTTTTCCTCGAAGCTTTTCGATAAACAGGGAAAAATTCTTCTTTCAATGCTAGATAACGATGCCTGCGCTCAAAATATGTCTAAGATATAACCCCCTGTCAAACAATTGTTTTCATGTTTGTTATCTTTCAAAAATTTGACCTAAATTTGTTTTTGTTTTTTTTCCCCTGACGACATGAAACGCTGCCACCTGTCAACGGCTAACACGGCTAGCTGGACACGGCTAACACTTTGCTAAAGTTCGGTCAATTTAAAGGAAAAACAACCCGGCTTTCATATTACAAGTACACCCAGAACTGAAACGGTACTCACATAGCAGCTTTACATTCATAGCATTTACACACATCAGTAAAAAAAAAAAACAAAAAAAACTTTTTCTTCTTTTCAAATTGACATGCTAACTGGCGTCGAGCTACATCGCAATAAACAGTCGCGGTTCTGCGTTTGAAAGGGTCCAATAGGGGCTCAAGAGAAGTTGCGCATGCGCTGTAGCTGTGTGGCGTTCATGGACTATATTTGAGCTCGGAATGTGAAATTAATCACCGGAAAGCAGCAGTCAGACAAGAAGACAGGTGACAACTATTTATATTATCTGCTCAAGTAGAAGTAAAGACACTTGTATGATCAAATATTCTAGTAAAAGTAAAAATAGCCTCAACTGCTTTACCAAAGTTAATGTTATTTGTTACTTCTGTCATTTCTGAATTAAGATATTCCATTGTTCGTCTGACTTTTTTGTAATGTAATTTTTTTAAACACACAGCTATTTTTTACTTTAACTAGACTGAAAAATTCAGCAAGTGCTGTCAGCTGCTAACTTTTCTATCCATGTCTGCTGAAGACAAACAAGAATAAAACAAGTTCAAATCAAAGACAAGTTTATTAAATATTTATATTTCAATCAATAAAAACCAAGTTACAGACATCTTACAAAATCCATTTGTTTCAATAACTTTGCATGTCAAACTTCCTCTGAACCATCAGCAGCATTCCAGCTCTGTCTCTCTGTTCATCAGCGTCATAATTAGAGGTGGAGCCTGAATATCCTAATGGTCACCTGATGGGAGAACGTTTTGAGAACTCTCTATCAGTTTTTGTCCCGAACAGAAGGGTGAAAAGGAGCAGGACATTTACAGATCATCAGAATGAATAAAAACTAGAAGGAAAGGAGAGAGATTCTGTCCAACCTGGAGATCAAACTTACTTCGTTCTGACTTATTTCCCTTTAACAGCACAAAGCAGACGATTTGCTTCAGGTGCAGATCAGCACAACGAACCGCTCACTGTTAGATAAATCACATCTGGCAATAAATAAATATTTCATTCATCCATAAATTAATCACCATCAGGTGCATTGTCACTGAACTCAACTCAGCTCAATATTAAATAAAGGAAAACAGAAGAAATCGTCTTCAGCTGGACACCGACCAGCAGCGTCCAGCTGACTCCGAAGAGACAAAACTCTTCCTGCTTGGATTCACATTGTCAGTGAATGTTCCCTGATGGAGACCAAAGGTCAAATGAGCCAGCGGGTTGCCGGTTCAGATCCCTGAATCGTCTGTTTTCTGCAGACAGTCCAGGCCATCAGGGCTTCTCCTCGTTGAAGTTACACAGCAGGCTCTTGGCTCCGTTCTGCCATGAATACAGCGTCTCCATTGGAGTTTTTCCATCCTGCAGAGAAGGAGCAGACCAGACTGAGCTCTACTGGACCTGGACCCATGTTGGAGTCCAGCAGCGCCGATGGGACTTACGTTGTTCTTGGTGCTGAGGCTGGCGCCATACATCATCAGCAGCTTGATCATCTTGAATCGGTTTATCCTCACAGCGTCGTGCATTGGTGTGTCTCCGTCCTGCAGGCAGACACAAAAACAACCAGAAACGTTAAATACACTGCAAAAACACAAAACCCTATCGAGTAGTTCTGGTCTACTCTCTGCTCAAAATAAGATGGTACACTTGAAATAAGACAAAAATATTATAAGTCAATAATTCCTTAATATTCATGGAAAAGTACAAGTTCCACTGCCAGATTATTTCACTCATTTTACATGTGATAAGTGAAATAATCTGCCAGTGGAACTTGTAGTTTTCACCAACATTATGAAATTATTGACTTAACACATTTTCTTGCAGAAAAGTTAGTTGTAAGTTAGTTTTGTCTTATTTCAGGTGTCCTAAGATTAAAGTACTTGGTAAGGTTTTTGGATTTTTGTGGGGTATTAGAGAAATCAGAGGCGACCTGCAGCGTTTATGGATCCAACAACCAGATGAGTTGTTGAGTGTCTGAATGCTCACTCTGTCTCTGGCGTTGACGTCGGCTCCAGAGTGGATCAGATGCTCGGCGCACTCGCAGTGTCCGGTCCTCACAGCGACGTGAAGAGGCGTGCTCTGCAGCTGAGTGCATCAGGAGGAGGAATCATCATCTAAAACACATCTGCACACGCAGTACCGCGTGTCGCCACCAGGGAGAGGCAAACTAACCTTGTCTCTGCTGGTGAACTTGGCTCCCTGGTGGAGCAGGAGCTGCAGGGCTGGCAGGCTGCCTCCCCTGCAGGCCCAATGGACGGCTGTGGCTCCAGCTGCAACACAAACACACACACATCACTGTCAGGCTGTGTGTGTCATGGGGTCTGTGAGACAGAAGAAGAGAGAGCAGGACCTTGTCTTTCTGCTCTATGGCGGCGCCGGCCTCCACAAGTCTTCTCATCACCTCCACATGTCCTTTGAAGGAAGCTTTGTGCAGAGCAGTTCTCTGAAACTGGAAAATAAAAAGCATTTTATTCACAAACTCCATAAATTAGAGACATTTCCATGGTTTTTAACAGTTCCTCTCTCACGTTATCTGCAGCGTTTGGGTTTCCTCCGTCGGCCAGGTACTTCTCCACCACAGGAAGTTTGTTCTCCATAACCGCCGTGAGGAACAGCTGCTCATCCACCGTTTCTGGCTGGAAAACACAGAAAGGGCAGCAGAGTTTAAACTGCCCTTTCTGTCAAACAATGCTTTGCTGCCGTAACCAATCCAGTCCAGAACCTTCCAGTCCAGATCCTTCCATCCTTCCATGGAAGTCCAGAACCTTCCATCCAACTGGTTCCAGTTGGACCAGTTGGTCCAACTGGTCCAACTGGTCCAACTGGAACCTGCTCTGGTTCAGGTGAAAACAACCTGACGATGTCCTACCACTGTCTCTGGTTCCGGTTCAGTTTTCTTGAACACAGAAGACTTCCTCTCCTTCCTCCTCTTCCTCAGCTGCAGGATGTTGAACAGATCGTCCACAGTCTCCAGCTTCAGCCTCCCGCTTCTGTCCGTCTGATGGAGCAGAGACAAAAACAGTTTTTAAAAGGCCACAAAAACCAGAGGAATGAGAAATAGGTTTCAGAGAGAACCCTGTCGGCACTGAAAATGTCCCTTAGATTCATTCACAGCAGACTGGGAAAAACACCTGGAAGATGCCCAGTAAATGCAGGAAGACACTGAAAACATCAGTTTTAGAAATCCATTCTAAAGCTACACAGAGCATTTAGTGAAGTTCTAAGAAAGCACCCAGTAGGTCAACAGAAAACTTGAAACATGTCCTCTACAGTCCACCAAGATACCAGGAGACACATTACCTTATGAAGTAGAGATGAGTTGCAGAAAACATCCAGTATCCCAGGAAGGGAAACCGTTTTTGAAAACCTGTTTTATCTTTGACTATAAAAAATAAAACATGGGTTTTTTTTCTAAATAATCCAAATTACTGCTGTTACTTTTTGATTGTGTAACTTAACAAATGGCACCCTTTAACATTTTAACCTTTTTAGAAAGGATGAGTTGTAATGTGTGTTGCTGCATTTCATTTGTAAATATCATATATTGTATGCTATGTTTTAAATCAATATTCAGCTGCACATATCTTCTGAAGATGATGGGATTAGCTTTTGGCCTGGCAAATAAATAGGTAATTGATTAATCCACGTTGTTATGCACTTCAGTAGCTCCAGGGGGCAGCACAGGCAGGTGAAACTGCGCAGTAAGCCTGAAATCAAAGCGGAGTTTCAACTTTGTCCTAGTTTAAGTTCAAGGAAGAAATGAAGAGCAAAGAAGAAGCTTGTGAGCACAAAATGAACATATGGAACATTATATTTCATATTAGTTTTTAATGTCACCAAATTCTCATGTTAGCATGTGACAATGCAACTCATCAACATTTAAACTTTCTAACTGGTAAAAGATGTTAAAGATTTTTTTAAAACCTCTTTAAAACACTGAGATGTTTTTCTTTAGAACCAGGAATGTGACGGAAACAAGAGTTTAGTTTATGAGTAAAGAAGCTTGATTCTGGTTCTGGTTCTGGTTCTGGATCCAGCAGAGCAGACTCACGTTCAGAGCCAGCACGCTGACCTCCTCCTCCGCAGCTCCGCCTCCCCCTGGCAGCTCCTGGAGCGACCGACGGTCATCCCGCTTCTCCTGGTGGACGGCTGCCTCGTACTTGACCCCCGGGAAGTCGCTGGAATCTTTGACCTCTGACCTCTTCCCGGTCACCTGGAGCGATGAGACGCAACGTTTCAACACACAAACCTTATGGTGTCTAAAATGTGTTTTAGTATTTTTCTGCAATATTTTGAAAATATTTCTGCTAATTAAATAAAATAATTTCTTTTGAGCACTGAAGTCGTATTAAAAACAAAACGTCATTTATGGTGAAGATGCAACAATAACTGATGTTCAATTGTATATTTACACGCCTCTAATCAGGCACACCATCATTCCCAGTTAATAGAGCAGAACCTACCAGTTCTTCCACACTCAGCAGTCCCATCCCGAGAAGCTTGGAGGTTCTGGGACAGATTTGGGTCCTGCGGTGTCCCGGTACTGTCCCTCTGCGTCTGTCCCTCTGCAGCCTGCGGCTCTTTTATATGAGGCAGGAAAAGCGTCCAGTCGGCGTCGTGTTACTGTCCTCGTGCTGCTGGGACGCGTCCGGCCCCCAGTCCTCCCAGTTTGGACATCAGTGTGTCAGCATGCAAAGATGGAGCACAAGACAGAGGTGTCACTCTGCTGACATGTCAAGGTGAAAACTCTTTCTGTACATTTTATTTTGTTTCATCTGGGAACTTGAAAATGTTTAAAAGAAAAACTTTTAATTTTCTAGTTCTCATTTTTCTTTTTATTTTATCTTTTAATTTATCTGATTGTATTTTTTGATTTAGGTTTTTAGCTCATTTTGCACATGTACGTTTTAATTTGCACTGTATTTTATTTTGGGGTTTTTAGCTC